ACTTTTCTATAGGATATTTCTAGTTATGATAAGGTTGTACTAGTCGTACTTGATTCATTATGACAATCAATAGGCTATTGTGAGGGTACAAAGTAGTTTCTGCAGTTGTAAGTATCGACATATACGTCGGAGACATTATACTATTAGATATACGATCTCAAGTATGTTTATTTCGATAGACTATGTGAAATGATAACCTAGTGATCCACTTACTAAAGGCATTAACTGAGATCAATTATCCCAATCTTGAGAATTGGAGGATTAAAAATCTTGGTTTAATGTAAACACTAAGTTTTGACATCTCAGTGGAACACTTGAAAAAAGTCTGCTCAATCCTAGAACCGTAAATATAAAAAGTTAAAAAATGCCTAAGTGGCTAGGATAAGTCTAAACTTCTAATAATTCTTATACCTAAAGGCGGAGTAAATTAGAATACTCTTCATAGGATTACTTATATAAGTGAGAAGGGTCGTGTCTAACCAATCTTATGAATTTAAGATATCGTCTAAGAACGTAATGGATACAATACGAGAACACGAAAGTGTAAGAGTTGTTATTGCGTGAGTGTGTCATGGTGCACATATACGGTCGGTAGTTCAAAGCATCACGCTACTAACTGACTAGTGTATCCGATATTATTTCACTAAGAAAGTTCAAAACACAAAACCAATTTATCCTATAGCGCAATAACGACTCGTCAAAACTCTCAAGTGCTCCATACGTTCATTAGTTTTATTTATGTGAATGATTGTAAGAAAAAATTGTTTTGAACCTATTTTACGGTTCCATTTATCGTAAATGAAATACTTACTGTAAGAAAAAAAAATATTTTTTTTACCTATTTTACAGTTTAATTTTTCGTAAATGAAAGACTTACTGTAAGAGATAGTCGGGCACTAGACATGCTAGAACTCGAACATAGTTTGTTGGGTACAAGTAGGACTCAATTGGAAACTTTTTAATACAAGGATACAGACGTAAAAATTCGGCGCGGGGGAGTGCGAGTCTGGCTCTGTCGCAACCTACGACGCCTGCGCACAACCACGTGACATACTCGGTTGTTGGTAAGGGTGTCAATTTGGTTCGGGCTCACCCTGGCCCGACCTGATCTGCCGCAACCTTTGGGCGGGATGGGTCCGCTCACTTTAATAAACGGGGCAGGTTCGTGTACGAGACACTGCCCTGGCATGCCTCGGCCCAGATATATATATAAGGGTGGCAATTTGGTTCGGGCTCACCTCAACTTGTTTGTTTTTCTTTGTGCGAGCGAGCGAGCTTTTGTTCGTGATCGTATTTGTTGTCCATTATTATCAAGAAAATCTATCCAACTTTTAGATAAATATCAACTCAGTTTATTTAAAGATCTATCCAAGTTCCGGTCATCATCACGTACATATATATATATCCAACATGTACAAGATCCTTCTACACCGTTGAACAATTCACAATTATATGTTATTAGCTCTTCTTAAAATAGTTTACACCGTTCATATACATTATCTCATGCATTAGCTTTGTGTTTTTTCTGTTCTCATTCTCCCTTTCATTTCTGTCCCTTGGCTACCTGTTTGAAAAGGAGAGAGCTAAAGTACCACCGGAGACGAAGACAGACAAATCCGACCAACTTAACACCCAAACTGAGGTTGGTTTGTATATGTTCTTACTGATCCTTTTTCTTGCTGAAATTTCTAACCTTGCTTCTTTTTTCTTTTTTTTTTAATTTTTCTTCCTAACCCGAATTAACTTTTTTTCGGTGTTCGTGCACGCGGGCTTTAAAACTTTGGTCTATTCTGCTTTGCCTGCTCCTCTACGCACAGGTGCCAAAGAGCAATGTTGGCGAAAAGACGCCGAATATGCTGAAATCAGTACCCAACAGCAATGAGGTTAAGAATTTCCAAGACTTTTAAGGTTAAATTTCAGCTTACCTTCAAGATTTTAGCTTCAATGTTGTACTGTGAAAAAAATTCAGGCCGAACACACGTCTATGCCGAACATCAGCAACGAGAGCATATATCCATGTCAACAGCAGGTCAAAGACTAATAATATTCTCATTCATTAGGTTCAAGTTTCACTGCTACTTAAATCACATACACACATACAAGGAAAAATTGGAAAGAAAATAGACGTTTTTGTTTTCATAATTCATACCGATTTTATTTCTGTAGATGCTCGCCCACGCCATGTCATTTCCATACATGCTCTCGAATATGACAGTGCCAGATTTGTCGAATATGACCGTGCCGGGCGTGCCGGTTAATACTCTGCCAAGCCCAGCCGTGCCGAATGTGACTGTGCCAGACATGTGGAATATTACACTGCCAGACGGGCCAATTATGACGCTTCCAGGCTCAATCGTGCCAAATTCAACTACAGGCCCAGCTATGCCAAATCGAACTACAGGCCCAGCTATGCTAAATCTAACTACACGCCAGGCTGGCCCGAATGTGTCGATGCCAGACTTGTTGAATATGACAGTGCCAGGCGAGCCGAGGATTATTCCGCTGCCAGCTCCAATCGTGCCAAATGTGACGATGCCAGGCCCGGCCGTGCAGAATCCGGCTACATGCTCGAACGAGCCGAATGTAACAGTGCCAGACGTGTCGAATATGACAGTATCAGGTGTGCCAGGCCCGATCGTGCCAAATCCGACCACAGGCCCAGCTATGTCGAATCTGACTGCAGGACCAACGATGCCAAATCGGGCTACAGGCCCAGTTGGGCCGAATGCAACGGTGCCAAGTGTGCCAAACATTGTGCTGCTGCCAAGCATGACCATGCCGAATACGACTGTGGCACGCATGCCGAACATGACAGTGCAAGGCGTGCCGATTATAACTCTGCCAGGTCGTGACGTGATGCCGAATATGACGGTGCCAGGTGTTCAAATTATGATGCAGCCAAATCAGGCTACAGGCCCGGGCGTGCCGTATATAATGCTTCCAGCTGGCTCAGACGTGGCAAAAATCACGGTGCCCGACATGCCGAACGTGATGTTTCCAGGCCCGTTTGTGCCAAACATGATGCTTGGAGGCCTGCCCGTGCAAAACCCGGGTACAGAACCAGAGACGGATCCATCTTCTACAACAGGTTCTTCCGAGTCTCAGACTTCGAAAGAGAGTGATCCTTAATTAGCCGAATTTACCCGACTCAGAAAATGAAGAAGATCGCGCATAAGGCGAAATTCGGCATTGTCGGATGCCCAGGAGAATGTTGCTTTGTAATAGTTTTTACTTCTTAGAAAGTGTGTGTATCTTAAATAGCTAAACTACGAAACTGTAGAATGTATGTGCGGTGAAGGGTACCAAAGCTTCAGGGACTAATATGATATGCTTCAAATTCTTTTTTGTTGTTTTTGCTTAAGAGAGATCAATGTTTTTTTTCTTTTTTTTTTTTTTTTAATTAGTGTTTTTATTTTTTAATTTGCTGAGATTAGTGATGGTAATGATCCGTTTTATTCTATTTTGTTTTCATTTTTTTTTTCTGTGAAAAAATAAAAGCATTTAGCACTTTGCAGTTTTTATTGTTTAAATTTTCATTTTATCTTCCTATTTTCAATTTTCATAGAACTCCTTCATAGCATGGCATCTTCCGTTGTTCCTTGATTAGTCAGCCAATTAGTCAGTAATTGCCATCAGTAGTAACAGGAATCAACTCTCCTCAATGATACAACTAGGTCAATTACATCGAGCCAGGTCATTTTTTTATATGTTGGTTCCGTCTTATGTTCGCGGAATTGGCATAATGAACTTTTGGAAGTGAGTCTCGACGATACAAACTTTTCGAAGCGAAGTGAAGTCAAAGAGCCCTCGGGAAGGTGAAATTGACGACTCTTTGCTCAAGACTCCTCGGCTTTGACTATGTGATCCAGTACAGCCAAAGAAACTTCCTATTCAGTTTATCCCTCTCCAATTTCTCATTTTAATACAAGCGTTTAATGGTACTTTCACTTAAAAAATTTCGAGCTGAGCTCGAACTATTGTATTTTCTTATCGAGTCGAGCTCAAACAACTAAAAGAAAATTAGTCCTGCTCGATAAGGTCAATGTTCGACTCGGCTCGACTCGTTTGCGGCCCTAAATGTGGGCCACATAGTTTTCTTGGGCTCGGGTGTTTGATTAGTCGTCTTTTGAAGGGAGTTTCTAAATCCGTGCCTTGGGACAAGACTTCGCCTTCTTTGGTAGTTGTCTCGGGTGTTTTGAGTATGGGGTTAAGAGTGGTTGGTCGACTGATGGTAAGGGACCTATTACGGTATTTTTAGTTGCTTTTTGTGTGTACGTATGTTTTTTCTATTTTTCTCTATGTTTTTTGGGTTTTATTATCTAGTTGAGAGAGTGCATTTTCTCTTGTTGGGAGTATTTTATTATCGTGCGTGCGTTGTGGTGGTCTAAACTCTAAACTTCCCACTAAGTTGTCCTCTCACTAGTTTTGGTTTTTGGCTGCTCGATTCAGTTGCTATTGCTTGTCTCTAGATTGTATTTACGTGTTTTTTGTTATAAAATTCCTATCGTTCAAAAAAAGAAAACATAAAATGGATGTGAAAACCTTTAATTTTTTTATGGAGAATTTGAAGAAGATATGGAACAACATGAGGCATTCGTTGCACCCAAAAATGAGGCTAAGGAGTGTAAATTAGCAATGTATCTTTATAGACTAAAACAAACACATAAACAATAGCTCAAAAAGTTTGACAAAACCATGTTG